GAAAGCCTCATCACTATTGCCACGGCCACAAAGAAGGTCGAAATGGTACACGTTCTTGACCGAGCAGCAGCTGGCGCAGTCATGGCACTCACTCTAATTTTCATGAAATCGGAGGATCATATCGTAGCCAGGAAGATTGACGTACCAGAGTCCATTGTTCAATTCGACTACATCCGGCCGGATATCTTGCTGCTGCGTACCGTTGCAAAGAACCTAATCATGTGGAACAAGATCGAACCAAAGTTCGAATGGATCTTGGAGAGCCTTCCCAAGGCGTACCGTGCCCGGTATAAGCTGGTCAATACCGCCAAGCTGAAGAGTACAGACCTACCATTCTTTAGCATCGTTACCGGAATCTGCTTTTCTATCGCGTTGCGTTATGCGGGCAGCGCGTCAGCGAGGGTACGAGACCTCTTGATACACTACCTCGACCAGTTTATCCGTATATCTCGGATACCTGCCACGCCACGGCCACCTCCACATGACTATCCCATGTACGACGAAGAGCTCGCCCGGTCCAACGCGCGGATGTGCCAAGACGTTCTCGCGCTCTCCGCCGCCATTGTCATGGCCGGCACCGGTGATCTTGTCGTGCTACGACGTCTTCGTCTACTGCATGGCCGTGACGATCCAGACACCCCTTACGGCTCGCACTTGGCCGCACATCTCGCCATTGGGTCTCTATTCCTCGGATGTGGAACAGCCACCTTTGGCACGAGTAACATGGCCATCGCCAGTTTGCTCATCGCGTTTTATCCCATCTTCCCCACCTCAGTTATGGACAACCGCTCTCACCTCCAAGCCTTCCGCCACTTCTGGGTCCTGGCCACCGATCCTCGCTGCCTCGTCGCAAAGGATGTCGCGACGGGCCAACCAATCTCGGCCCCGATTGAGATCCGCAGGAAAATGAACGGAGCCCACGATGCAGAGGACGTCGCTGTCGTCCGCAACACGCCTTGTCTCCTGCCTCCTCTGGCCGACATTGCCAGCATCCGCACCGACGCGGGGCCAGCCTTCTGGGACCTTGAGATCGACTTTGAGAAGAACCCTTCGCTCGTCGACGCCTTTAAGCAGAACCAGAGCCTCTACCTTCGCCGGCGCCCTGCACAAGAAGCACCCTTCACATCGACACTCCGCGCTCTCGGACGGGACGCGTTAGCTGACGTCACCGACAACGGAACACGTGATCCGATTGAATGGATCTTTGGCCTCGATGCCCTCCGCGACCTAACATACGCCGAACGCGCCACCGTTCTAGACCGTAGCACCAGCTCCGAGGGCGCTGCTAGCGAGACCTCGGGGTCCGCGGTGGATTCTCGTCTTGTGCTGGAGCGGAGCATGGACGGGTCCTCGCGCGAGAGGCTTTTGGGGTTGAAGATGCTGTTTGAGTGGGCGGATCGACGTGCCCAGCTTGATGGTGGTGCTTGGGCTAAGGGCAAGGCTGCCAAGGCTGGCGGTAGTAGTGATGGTGGTGGTGGTGGTGGTGGTGGTGGAAGTGCGGAAGGGGAGAAGAATCAGGAGTGGTGGATGCGTGATAGTGTTGTTGAGGAGCTCAAGGGGCGGGTGTTCATGGCTGGTCGCGAGGACGGGGCGGGACAGAGCCTTAGAAGCATCTGAAGATGTCTCTGTGTGTGGGTTCAGCGAAGACGGATGTTAGATCATCGTCATGAAGAAACGTCTTATGAAACGAAAATCCATCTTTCCGTAACGCCCTATGAAGTACCGCCTGTCCTTTCGCTGCGTTTGACGTAGGAGATTGTATGTCCAGGCCAGTCTCTACACTGATGCTAGGTTTGGCAAATTGTCAGCGTCACGCTATGGGAGATGTGAAGGATGGAAGGCTACATCTCAAGGGAAAGAAAGCCTCACGTATGCTGCTAGATGGCGTATTTATATATACGAGTATTGTCCTAAAGGGGTAAGAACGAACTATATTTCTATCCGACCGACCCCATGTCCCTCCCTTACATCTGCTTATGAAAAGCTTCAGAATGAAGGGAAAGTTGGAGAAAGGGGGGGCCGATGAGAGACGGGGGAATGATGAGAGACGGGGAATGATGAGAGACGGGGAATGATTAGAGACGGATATACTGACGCCTTATGGCAGTCGATGAACCAAGGCAAGGAAGGTATAAGCAGAGCCAGCCTCATTTCACTCAACACATCACCACAACTTCAAGGTAAAGCATTACTTTTTTTCAAACTGATAACATTTCAATAAGTGCGGTGAATCTACTCTCATGCCCCATCGGGCTCTCTCTCTCTCTCTCTGTCTCCCTCTCTCTCTTTCCGCTTCTTCGAGAGACCCTTCACCCCTCTCGACTTCCACCCTTCACTTAGCCCTTTTGGGAAGGGGGGAAGAATCTCCTCCCCGTTTTTGCCCTGAACGCCGTGCCAATGCAAAAAGAAGCCTCGGGGATGTCTGCGTGCGTGTGTGTTTGTGTAGTGTGTGGTGTGTGGTGTGTGTGATATGACCAGGATCCTCGATTCTTTTCCCGAAATCCGCCCACATCAAACGCCCCTTTCCACCAAATCTCGTCCTTCCAAGGAAGAAGCTTCACCTCTCAGAGAGATGAGATGCTTCAAGGTTGTCGTAAATTTGGCGGTGTAGGTTCTATCGTGTCATTGTTAAAAAAAAGAAAACCCAGGTTTTCTCCCCCTTCTTCTTTTTGGATCACCAAAAAACAATTTCCCATCTTTTTTTATACGGTAATCGTCTTTAATCATATGTGATTCGTTGTGGCCATTAAGCTAGCGTCTTCTTCATGCTTGCCCTTCTTACTCAGAAATCCCAAAGCATCTGCTGTAGCTTTTGCTTCTGCTCATACTGGTGCTGACGCCGCTCCGTCGGGGAAGCCAAATCCTACTTGGAGACGGCAGCGGTGAGCACCTGCGTGCGGAAGAAGCCGCCCTTTGTCTTCTCAATGACCTGCTGGTAGACGTTGTTGGGCGGGTGGTTCATGATGACGGTGCCCTCCTGGCTGTCAATCTTTGCGTCGAGGCGGGTCTCGCGGATGAGGTTGACGATCCACTTCTCGCCGTCGTCGGGGTTGAGGCCGAGCTTGGCGGAGAGGTCGCGGATGTTCATGCGGGAGAAGATCTTGCAGTAGCTCTCGCAGATGAGGTGGCGCGCGGCGTCGACAAAGGCGTCGGACGACGACATGAGGAAGAAGTCGGCGCGGCAGACCTCCTCGGCCTTACGGAGGGCCTCACGGGCGGCGTTGAAGTCGTGGGCGACGTACAGGGCCGAGACGAACTCGGTGACGGGGTCGGCGTACTCGTAGGCCTCCTGGCGGACGTAGCGGATGATGTCCTTCATCTGCTTGGCCTGCAGTGAGGAGTTGCGGGAGCGGGAGCGGCCGGTGATGACGGCGGCGATGAGGTAGCGCAGGACCCACGGGCAGGCGGTCTGGATGGTGTTGATGTAGGCGGCGGAGAAGAAGAGGTCCAGGATGGGCTCGCGGGCGGCCTCGTGGTTGAAGAGGGGGAAGAGGGCCCAGTGGACTAGCATGGTGCGGTGGTCGAGCTGCGCACGGGGGTTGTTGAAGAGCTTGCTGTCGATGCTCTCCTTGACCTTCATGATCTCCTCGACGGCAGAGTCCCAGTTGGTGGTGAGGATCTCGGAGGCGAGCTTACCCCAGGTGGCAGAGGCGACGCGGTCGTTGTCGGTGGACAGGACACGGAACTGATACAGAAGCTCGGCAGCGGCACCGTAGTTGCCGCAGCGGAACTGGAACTGGCCAAACTCGTACAGGGCGTTGACCATCTCGATGGTGACCTGTTTTGGTAGCATTACAGTCAGCATATGCGCTCGTGTGTCATGTCTCCAAGCCCAACAGGGACACAAAGCCACTCACATCGTGATCCTTCTTCAAGAACTCCAAGTTGGCAACCTTGTCGCTGCGCAGGGCGCCAACGACGTCCTCGCGAGTCAACAGCTCCGAAATCTTGGCCGTGTCCTGCTCGTACTTCTCAAGCTGCGCGATGACCTCGTTGCGCTTCTTGGCGTACTCGGCAGGCGCCTCGGCGCCGCCGTTGAGGTCCTGGTACAGCTGGGCGACGTAGTCGGCCATGTTGGTGTCCTCGAGCAGCTTAATCTTGCCGGCAAGGATCTTGCGGGCACCGGCATCATCGCCCTTCTCCTCGGCACGGCCGGCCTCGAACTCGATCAGCGGAAAGACGAGGTGGCGGGACAGCTGCGACGCGAGCTTGGGCAGGATGCTCTCCTCGCCGAGGGCGGCATAGACATCCTCCATGATGGGCGAGGTGTATTTTCGGGTGGTGGATGAGTTTAAGTGTTGTCGGTCGGAGAACGGCAATGTTGGAAAATACCTGATTGTGAAAATCGAGGTATGGAGTCGTCGCCTGAGGGGAGGAGGAGGAGGGAGGGGGGTGTGGTGTCGTCGGCCGTCCGGTTCGGGGTCTGCGCGATCGTCTTTTGCTGAATCTTTTCCTTCCGCTGAGGGGCAGAAAGAGTTTTGGGCATTTTCGCCAAAGGGCAGGTTTGGTGGGGGGCTTTGTGCCGTGGTTTTGCCGCTCCCGCCTAACGCCTGAACCACTGGAAGGACAGCTTTGTAGTCTCCGTACCTACCTTGGTGGTCCACTGTAGCTTACGTAAGGGTATTTGCACCTCTTGAAAGCTGTGGGGTGTCGGTGAATTCAACGTCAAGTGCACGGTCCCTCGACACGCTTCCAGTTGATCCGAGCTTTAACCGGCGCGAATCCCTTCACCACCAGAAACCTCTGTACCAGCTCTCCGTCACAGCTGAGATTCAGCCAAACGCCCAACAGAGCCCGACCCAACCGTACCCTCGCCCTCTCTGTACCTCGGAACGATATCCATCGACTCAGACATCCGAACCACGTACTCCAAAATGCGCTCAGCAGTCAGAAGCGCCGCCCTCGCCCGGCCTCAGCTCACCTCCCTCCTTACCTCGAGAACATCCGCCTTCCTCCCCTCAATACGCTTCTCCTCCACAACCGCCGCCGAGACAACGACGACGAGCTCAACAAAGACCACAACGAGGCCATACGTCGTCAGCCTCACCCCCTCGAACCAATTCCCCGTCTACGCGCGCACAAAGGCCGCCGGCTCATCCAAATTCACCATTGTTAAGAAGATTGAGGGAAACAAGAAGGCGTTTGCACAGGACCTCGCCCGCGAGGCTGGCTTCGCCGAAGCAGAGGTCAAGCTGAACCCCATCACAGGACAAGTTCAGGTCAAGGTACATTGGAGCTCTTACTTTCCTTTCTTCGCAGCTAGAGAACTGGTACGAGGAATGACATGGAACCGTTCACTTCTTCCGAGCCCAATCCTCAAAGTCTCGCTATCGAACGTGGCCAAATTCTAACAACATCGTAGGGCTTCCACGTCGAAAAGGTCAAGGAGTGGCTGACCACCGCATTGGGAAACCCTGCGAAGACGGCATGAATGTCTGGCGAGACACACGGTGTGCGGTTTGCTACTCAGCGCGGCCGAGTTGTATAATCAGAAATTGTATCATACCACCTGGGACAGGGATGATCAATTGGCCGGGTGCTTCATGCTGAGGGCATGGATTGGAAAAGTTTGATATGATATTACGCCATTGACTTAGTATACATGGCGATGTACTATTAGCTCTAGAGAGCAACATTTGACCAAAGGCTCCTCCACGTCTTGCAGCTGAGACAATGTGAAGACTAAAATTCAATCATCACCTCAATCTTGAATCCCTGAACTCTGTCCACAAGCTGAAGATCGTCACTCATCACATTGTTGATAAAAGTAGTGTTTGGATGTGGTCCATGAGGTATTCTTGCATTTCCGCGTTATATATACACCTATGAAAGACGGCCCTTTGACCAAGTAGCCTCGCTCCATGCTCCCAGTTAACTCCCGTCAACACGTCAAAAGTCTTTTTTTGGTTACAGCTCTTACACAAAGACGTGACACATACATCTAAACGGCTTGTTCGGGCGCCAAAGTCCCAAGCTTCGATCTTGTCTTCGGCCCATCCAAACCATCCAGCCAAGAACCCTGCATCGAGCCTGATTTTCCCCAATATTTTGCTTTAATACATATACGACAAGTCATGATGATGTCTATGACTCTAGCGAGGCGTAGGCAGCAAGATTCCTCATCACCCCGTCTTTCGTCCATTCGGGGGATCGCATCATCATCATCTTGAAGAGACTCTCTTCCGACGGTAATGAGTCCGCGGGGACTAGAGAGTTGGGGTCATTGGGATCCCGTGCCTTCTCAGCTAATCTCCGAAGGGTTGAGATGCCTGACGTCGCAATGTAAACCAGACCCGTGTCTCGGCCTGCAGGGTCCCCTTGGCCACTCCGCGTTTGCCATGGTTGCTCGAATTGAGCTCCGAGCACTTGAACAAAGTGGTAGAGGGATTGGGCAAAGCCATTACCACTGGATAGCCATGATTTGGCAATCCCTGTCTCATATCCGGGTGCGAGGGATGCGATGATGTCCGTAGCCAACAGACCCTGCATCAGCCAAGGCTTCCGATCTTCGACGAGCCTAAAGAACTTCTCGGGAGCCTCGATGTGCGCGACAATGGATTCTGGTGATTGGATGGGGACAACCGTGGTGGCTAGAGCAAATGAGCGTGTCAACAGATCGTACGGCGGACTGCTGTTGGCTTCCATGGCAAAGAGAGTTTTGTAGTGTGTCCTGTTCGGTTCGTCGCGAGCCAGGAACCTAGCCAATGCATCAACGGCATGGAAAGTGTATGTATGGACTCCAGGTTGGTAAGGTGGGAAGTAGAGCTTGTTGTCGACCACGGCCGGTCCAGGTGCTGGTGCAAAAGAGAGCAAAAAATGCAATAAACATAACGCTTGCTCGCGGCCAGGAATTTCGACTGCGCCTGCAATATTAGAAAGTAGAATGATGGCGTCTTTCATGAATTCAAGAGTGTTTGCGTTTGTCCGGAACAACATGGTTCTTGTGCCAAGATATCTGATCACAGCGCAGAGGAACTTGATGACCAGCTCGTCACCGAGGACCAAATGGTTTTCGTTCGAAGCTTCGGGGAAGGAGAGGTTGCGTAAGATGGTGATGACGCAAGAGAACCGGTCAACAGCACGGTCGAGTTCGTACTCGGGGGTTCCAAACTTGGGCAGCTCCTTCACGCCCATCTTGTCAGTCCAACAGGCACGAGCCACATCCTCGTAGGAAGTTAACTGAATGTCTGACGAAGCCTCCTCGGTGTTTTCGACAAGCAAGTCCAACTGGTCCTCGGCACATTCCAGCAAAGCCTCGATGAGCTCTTCGCAATATTTGAGATGGATATGCAGGGCTTGATGCTGGGTAGAAGTGACAGCAGCGAGGGTGTCAAGAGCAAGTCGTACTTCGCCGTGGATTCCAGACTCCAGGCTTCGTGTAAGAGCGTGCAGATCTACGTATCCGAGTTCGTATGGGGGCGGGACGTCTGGCTTCAGGCCTTGGAGCTCCAAGCCCTTCAGGTCGAAAGCTCGAATGTTGATACCACCATATGTCTCAAGAGGGCGAGCACTGGGCGTGTATTCGTCCGACTCTTGAGCTAGACGCAGCATACGGGGCTTGATCGAAGCTGCCATGGGGTTTTGGTCCAATCCGGGAGGAGCAGGCATGGGCAGTCCCCCACCTTTGACTGACGCAGGAGAAGCTGCTGGGAATCCTTGAGGCTGGCCCGGCGTCGGTTCTACGCTACGAGACAGGCTGTTCCGAGCATGGCCTTGCTGTGCACTCGCAGGCGTATGTGGTCCCGGAGCCTGGGGTGTTTGAAAGCCATTGACAGACGGAGGCTGGCCGCTAAAAGACCCCTGCTTAACAGGAGTTTGAGCTTGAGGCGGCATTGGCGGTTGGCCGGGTTGCATCATTTGCTGCTGCTGTTGAGGCGGCATCGGCCCTTGAGGAGACATTTGTTTTGTGGGTGTTGTTTGGGGTTGGGCGCCTGGAGGCATTGGCTGGTTTGGCATACCCTGCTGCTGCTGCTGCTGCTGTTGCTGCTGTGCTATCATGCGTTGTCGACTTTGCTGCGCAACCCAAGCCTCCTCGAATCTCAGTAGATTTCTTTCGTAAATCTCCTTCAATACCTGGGGCGCCTGGGGAATCTGGCCTGGGTGAAACCCAATATTGTTGGAAACATGAGGCCATTGATTACCAGCAGTCGTAGGCTTGTAGCCTCCCTTGCTTTGCACAGCTTGGAATAATGTCAAGAGATTGACGGGTCGGTTGCCGATGACCGGGTTCGCATCAAGTTGTTGGCCCTTAGCAGTCATGAAAGTGGTGAGACTCTTCATAAACTGCTCCGGGTCGGTTCGTGGCTGCATGGGTCGCTGCTGGGGCTGGGGCCTTATACCGCCCGGGGGCATCTGGCCATTGGACATTTGCATGGGCTGCTTCGGCATCATCCCACGGCCTTGCGCCATGTTCTGAGCCTGCATCTGAGCTGCCATTTGCATGTTTTGCATATTTTGCATGTTCTGCATATTCTGCATGTTCTGCATTCCCTGCATCGTTCCCTGTTGCAACTGTTTCTGAAGCCGCGCCTGGTAAGCTGCCATCTGTTGGTGCTCCATGGCATTCCGCGGTTGCATATTGGGGGGCAACATCTGATTCGGCATCTGTCCCATTTGCTGGGGCATTTGTCCCATCTGTTGAGGCATCATGCCAGAGCCCGCCATCGCATTCGGGTTGGGAGAGGGTCGCGCAGGGGAAGGCGAAGGGTTGAAATTCGGATTGTAGCCCTGAGGCATGTTGGGCATGTTTTGTTGCATGAAGTGATTCGGTTGCGGTGTGCTGTGCTCGGAGGGATTCGGTGACGCTTGGGGCGCAAATTGTTGCGCACCGGGGGAGAACGGGTGTGGTGACGCGGTCGCAACTCGCTGAGGCACGCTTCCGGGTCGTAACTGGTTCGCCATGATGGGTGAGGGTGTCGCGTTCGCAGAGCCGTTGGCTTGAAGATGGGGATACGGCGAAGGTTGGCCTTGCGCCTGTTGGGGCATACCAGGCTGGTAGCCGGGAAACGTCTGAGGCGTTTCGGAGCGCGACGTTGGCAACATGCCAGGATTTTGTCGCGGTGAGCCGGCGAGGCTGTCTTCGCGAGGACGAGGTCGTTTCGATGGAATAACGGGGTTTGTTTGATAGGCGGGATTCTGAAAGGACGATGGAGAGGCGTTGCGCATTTGGCCATTCTGCATGGCGGCCATCTGCTGTTGCTGCTGAACCTGCTGTTGCTGTGCCTGCTGCGCCTGTTGAGGATTGGCGAACTGGGCGGGATTGAAATGGGCAGGACTGCCCATGAAGGCGGAAGGGTCCATCATGGCTCCGGCCGCGTTAGGATCGTTCATATGTGGGAAGCCGTTGCCATTATGGTTGGGGACCGCGGCTTCGTTCATCCAGGTGCTCATTGTTGAGGTCGTCTGGCGCGACCCATGGAGCGATTACTGGGAAAATTAGCGACTGCAGCGAAATGAACCAAGGGCCATTGAGATGGAGCAGTAAATCGATGAGATGGGGAGTGACACGGAAGCGGCTTGTCGCGATGCAGACTTGTCGCGCGTCGCGGTTGTGTGTGGTGGATTGGACGTGGTGCGTGGTGCGTGGTGCTGGGGGGAACGAGCGAGCGGACGAGTCGCAGGTGTGTGGGAAATCAGCAGTGGAGCCAGCCGCTTTTGGGGGTGAAGTGCGCTGGGCTGGGCTGGGCACGACTGGCGCCGGTTTTGGGTAGGAGCAGAGCAGCCCGGTCCTTTCCTCAGTCGTCGGGTCTGAGTCGGCTGGGAAGGTGACTCTGGCAGCTGGCTGTGCGGCGTGCCTTCTGGGGGAGCGAGACTGGGAAGGAAGGCTGTGGCGCACAGGGAAGGGAAAGAGTGAAGGAGAGGCTAGAGCGTGGGGAAAAAAAATTGGGCAAGGCAGAGGGAGCATGAAATGAGAAACGCAACACAGCCAAGCCAACAGGCAATCCTCAGATACACGAGACAGACGAACAAGAAGCAATTCGTAAGCTTAGATTATTCTCGAGTGACTAGCCACATATGGGCTGGGAAACGCGCAAGGAACACAAGGCAAGGTAGTAGCGATAAGGGGGGAAAAGGCAAAAAAGAGGCAGAGGCGATGCGAAGCCTGCAGTGTCCAGGATCGCGAACTCGCGCAACCACAAGCATCAGCAACCACGTCGACAGGTGTCAACCATCAAAAAGGAGACATCATCGCATCGAAGAGAGGTCACGAGATGATGGAAACAGCACTTACAACGCTATCGGCGGCCCGGGGGCGATCGGGATGGGGGTGCGAGGATTGGGAAGGGAAAAAAAGGGTACGACTCTCGGGGCGGCGGCTGAGGGAAGGCAGTACAGCTTCGGGTCGGGGCAGACCAGAACAGAAAAGTAGAATAAGAAGAAAGCCTCAAAGCAAAAAGCGATGGGGTGGGCAAGCGGCCAGCAGCAAGCAAGCAATGCAACTGAAAGGCTGAGAAAAGAACAAGATAGAAAGAGAGAGGGTGTGGTGTGCCTGGTCTTACCTAACAAATGTTACTCAAAAGCGATGAACAACGTAGAGCAAAGCAGCTTTGTTGGCGGCGGCGTCCCGAATCAGAGGCAAAGACTGCTGCAGCTTGGAACACTGATGAGCCGGGCTGAGAGTCGTGGATATTAGAATTGGAAGGGAGGGTCGATGAACTGTGGACTGTGAACTGTGAACTGGACCTCAGCTGGCTTCCATTCGAACTGGACGCGACCGAGTGAGTGTCTCCTTAGGTTCCTGGCTGTGTCGTGTCTGTCAAGTCCTGCTCCTGCCTGGTTCTTCCATCTCTCGGCAAATCAGCAGAGACTTTGGGGGGGCTGTGCTGCTGCTCCATTGGTTTCATCCGCCCACCGCCAGGTAAATGTTCCCAGACCCGCTTCCCTTCCGTCTACAGACTAGCGCTGTTTAGACTCGGTGGAACCCAGAGCCCGGAGTGAACCGAACAGCCAATGAGATGTCTTTGTTAGTGATCAGATACCGGATCAGTATCAGCTGTTAGCATTTTGCATCATTCTCCTACCAGACACTACCAGATTGGTGTCCACCCAGTATCGTCAGCGTATTCTTTCCCTCCTCCCTCTCAACCTTCATTTGCTCGCCCCTACCAGAATTGCTGCTTATGTTGCGGTGGGTGTGACGAATGGAGTTTACCGCTATTGTTGTCGATTTGTCTTGCTTCCTCGTGATAGGTATCAATGAGCATTCCGATGCCCATGTCCCCTAGGTCGTTCGCGCTTGTCCATTCCCATTGCGAGTTCACAGTCACGGTGACCCTTTCCCTCTCTATCTGTGCCGGCCAACGATCCGAGGTAGTGTCGCATAATATTCCTTCTCTTTTCCCTTCGTCGAGCTTGAAGTACCCTCTTCAACTCCCCGTCCCTTTTCAACATAGACGAGTCACAATTTCATGCCATACATGATAAATTGGCATGATCCTCGAGACTTTGTCCAAGACTTCTTGGCATAGAAAAAAATAAGCTAGACAACAGTATCGCCTCCAGAATAACGGTGGTGTAGGTAAGATATTGAGTGACATATAGATTCCGCTTGGGAAAAATGTCCATATGACAATCAGGAAAGAATGCCATCGGTATGTCAAAGGCGAGAGGTTGTTTTGCTCTGGTATATCCTGTGCACATAGTTCAAAAGCCGATATGGCTGCCCACGGAGATAGTTGCTTCGACCAAGCGGTCTGCTCGGGTCGCAGGGGTATGGGAAAGAAATAGCAACCGACGAAGCTTGCCAGTCGAAAGAAGAGGTGGGAATAGAGGGTAGGCAATGCCAGATGCCCAGGTGCAAAGATGGACGGCGACGAGCTACCTCGCAAGAGGTGATCATGCCGCGAGGTGATACTGGCGTCTAGTAGTAATGCCACATCCGAAACCCAGATCGAGGAGTTGGAGGATGGCAAGTATGTAGGTAGGCGTATGAGCGAAGAAATGGCAATGTGACAGACTCAACTTGGTCCAGCGTCATGGCAGCCAACTTTAGCAAGCCGTAGTACGTCGCACTTCGCTCCATCACTGCGCCTGGTTGTGCGTTTCCTATCACCATCCGCAGGGGTGTAAGAAAACGGCGTCTAGTGTAAGTGGGGAAGGCCTTGCCTTGTGCAGATATCAGAGGAAGGTCGGGGGCGCAGAAGTCTGCATGATGTGCAAACTGAAGAAAGCAAACAAGTCGAAGAGAGGTGAAGGAGACGAACTGCCGCGTATGGCTGTCGTCGTCGTTCGAGTAATAAATGGTGCATCTCGAGACTGCCACTGTCGTTCGTTGTCCATGGTTAATTGCTGCAGGATGCCCCGCCAATGAAGGCCCCAAAGAAGCTAATGCAGTAGAGATGCATGCTTCCCAGTGACATGGCTCAGCCATCCCATCCCCGTCAGAATCGCCCAACATCAGCGCCAGTGGTTGTCGGACAGCCCATCATGAGACTGTCGTTTCTGCTTTCCGTTGGCACGTCGGCAGACACCAGATTGGAACAGAAGCGTCGAAAATTTGAGGCGGTTTCCGGATCGGCATGTAGTAAATGAACTGGGCAAAAAGGTTTCGAGTCTCTTTACTGGCACGACGCCACGGTAAGGTAGGTCGCAGTAGCAGTAGCAGTGGCAGTAGTAGGAGACTGTAGCGGTAGCGGCAGCGGTAGGGTCCAGGCTGCTCTCAGGGTTGTTTCGTCATTTTTTTGGGCGGGATCCCATGTCTGGCGCAGTTTGGCCTGGCCCGGTGCCGGCCCCGTCACGGTCATGGCCCGCATGGCTGGTCCTAGAAGGCTTTCTACTCGTGCCTGCGCTCGATAGTTTGCTGTTGCTCTGTCGCAGTGGTGCTTTGGAGGGGTTTTTTTATTCTTTTCGGGTCGATTGGGCTCGAACTTGTCCGGTTTTCCTGACAAATTTTGGCTCATTGTTTTGCCTGCCGGTCAAACATTAAGAGGGACGAAGGCTGCGGCACTGAGTGAAGCCTGAAGAGCTAGCCATTCATCGTAGTCGCTGGGTTGGAGATTCTCGCCCACTCGGTCCAGATACGGCCAAGTACCCTGGTCGACCCCGTCCGTCGAGTGGCCCCAGACAGGCCATGACTGTTTCGACCCTTTGTGGGAGGGAGTCTGCCCTCAGCATCCTCTGCTGAAGCGGCGTGTTCCTGGCGAAAGCAAGGCTTGACCGAATTTCCCTCACTCCATAGAATTTGGTTCTTGGGCGACGGCGGTCATTTTTGAGGTCGAACGATCTGTTGTTGTTGTTGTTTGGTCCGGCTGGTAGAACTTACAAGAACCCGATGGTGGAAAAACGGTGGTGAGGCCTTGGGAGGGGCTACCGTTCTCAGATCAGCAGACGCCGGTACAAACGGCGTGGAAGGCCACGAAAGAGCGATAACGCAGATCGTAAACAAATGCAATGAGATTGAAGACGACGACGGACAGCAGGAAAGGAAGGCAGCAGAAAAATGAGGGAAAGGTCAGGAAAGAGGAGGAAAGGGAACGGGGGCGGGTTGGGCGATTTATGTGAATTAAAGTACATGGCGGATGTACCTCCGTGCTGGTACTGGTGCTGGTGTCGGTCCTGCGCTCCTCCCAGTTTGGACCCATTACCTTTACAGTGCCTGCCCGGCCCTGCTTAACGGTGTCGGACAGCTGCAAAACGGTAGGTGACCCCTCTGATGAGCTGGGCACTTCCTGCCTTCCTAACATTTTACTCTATTCGGCGGGTGACTGTTCCATTGTCTTCGCTTTCGTGCCACGCTGGCTCTTGTTTAATTCATGGAAAGAAGGAGCAAAGTTGGGCTGAGGAAGTTGCAGCCACCCATGTGTCATGCGGGTGCTGGTGGGAACGAGGAAGGAACGATTGTGACCCGATTGAAAGGCGAGGAAGGTACCTGCCCACCCTACCTTCTGAGGGAACTTGGCTACAGGGTGAAGCAGGTACGGGTGGTCAGGGTAGTTGCTTCCCTACCTGCCTTAAGGTAGGTAAGATGAGCAACTGGAAGATAAAGCAGGAAATAACACGCCATTTCAAGGTGAGAGTTGTTATTGCAATTGGAGGGAAAGAAAAACATTTCATGGCTGCCTTCCCAGCTGCGTGCTTTCTATGGGAATGGAGTTGACGTCGGGGCGGGCTTTGGTGGGAGGGAGGGGGTAGGGAAGCCTCGGAAATCAGCCATCATCACCTCCCGTCCTCCCCCATTCTGATAGACACCTCATTTAGACCGTGTCAGTATTTATACCTTATGGTCGTGTACTATACTTATACGCACCCGTCAATGGTTTCTGCTTCATTTCAGCCGTCTATTTCCCTCTTCTCCCATCAACCTCTTGCACACGCCATCTCGATTATCCCACCGAGCTTCTCGTCTTTCTTCACGTCGGACTTGTGCCTCTACAACTACGTTCAGGCACTCTCAGCAGCAAGAAGATCATCCGGCAGTAATCGAGGACCAGCACTGCATATCCACGTGTGCCCCCTTTTCTCCGATTTACGTTATTGCGAGAAACACGCCCTGTCCAACAGCAAAATGCAAATTCCTGCCTCATGTCGTCTCATCGCTTGCTCCGGCCTTTCTTCCCCGCCGTTCCTCAATTTCGCGCCCTTTCTACCTTAACCCACAGTCCAATCCAATCCAATCTAAACCCCGTTCAAACGCACGGCTTCGTCTTTCCCTTTGGCCTTTGCCTTTGCCACGCTGGCTGTGTGGTAAGGTAGCTGGTTGGTTAGCTGCTAGGCCCGGCCTGGCGCATCTTGTCTCTGCCACGCCGCTCATCAAGGATGGTAGCCTCGGATCCTCTTCTCGTCTCTATTTTTCAATAACCTTTTGTTCCCTTTTTCCTGTCTCATTGTGGCCAAACATGGAATGGATGTGCCGCTTTGCGCGAGAGCACGTTCATCTGCCTGGATTCCCATGGCTTGAACCCTCTTCGGCTATCTTTCATATTTGTGCTGCCATGCCTCAGTGCCTCAGGGTAACCGTAGGTACTTCAGGTATTGGATGGGGATGGAGGACCAAGGTTGTCTCCATTCATGGATGTCACCAAGCCCAACATCGGCCCCATCCGGGAGATGATGGGACGAGAGACGAGACGTGGATGCGCACACTGCACTGCACTAACCACACGAAATAGAAAACCATCATCAGCGCTTGCTTCGCATCCCCCCCAGCTTTGCTCGATCTGGACAAATCCCTGCCAGCTGTGCCTCTACTCGATCCTGTACAACCTTCATCAGGAAGAAGGACTTTCAAGTATCGATTTCCACCTCAGCCTGTGCAATTGCTACTCGATTTGGCTCGCATCACCTTGCCCTTGGCTTCACCGCTCGAACCGATTCAGACTCACACTATGAAGGTTCCCATGTCTACCCACTCTTGGATACCCTTGTTGTCGTGGCCAAGCACCCAAGATGTCGGACCGCATGGATGGCCCGCCGTTCACATTTACGGATACAAAAGCGTCCCTCCATCCTCACTAAATCCCCCTCATCGACCCCGAGGCAGTTAATGCTAAAGTTCAGGGACTGCTTACTATGTAGGTAGAACATCGCGGGCATTGGGATAGCTTGTCGTTTCGCTCCCATTACAATGCAAGCAAAGCTCCAAGCTTTTGAGCACATCCTGAAACAAATCACTGCCATCACGGGCGTGAGCGTTACCTGGTGGGTGCAGATCTGCCCAAGAAAAGGCGCACCATCCAACCATCCATCATCCTCCCTTCCGAGACCTAAATCTGACCAGCGAACGCCAAAGCTTTAACGCCCGCCAGCCTTGATCTCGACCCACCTCCCCTCACTCCCGACATGATGAAATCTCATGATATGTAGTGATTCACTTTCGTATGAGTGTGAGTGTACAGGTTTGCCGCTCTTCAATACAACGAAGTCAGCGCTCGGAGCAAGACTGCGTAAAAAAGAACGGACTGAGAGGCCTGTCTTTGTCATAAACCGCGAGCAATACATTATCCTTTCCCTCTCAGCAGTTTGTGCTCAGTGTTGGAGCACGGTATTGGTGCGAGGTCTCAAATCACCCTGTCCCCCTCTTGACAAGCTGGAGGATAGTAGACCGCGCCATAAGAAACTGAGTTTCTGGCAAGGCACCACAGAGCGATGAGCAGAGTTCATCGAGTCCTGTCCTCCTCTGCTATTCACGAATAGTCCAGACTCCAGCATGCCTCCCCGCCATCTTACCCCCTTGTGCTACCGTCCCTGTCCTAGCCCTGCACATCCGCCCTGTGACCAATCTGCACTGGGCTGGTTCGAACGGAACTTGTCTAGCGTAAACGTCGGCCCCACTACTTCTGTGGGGCACAGACATTCGACGGCGCCGCCAACCTGGATGCCTGATGTTCGTTGTTGGTTCTGCTGCTCCAGGTCGTGCCGATGCCTGTGTATCCTGTAAGGCAGGTAATTGCTGTTACGATTTACGAGAAAACACGAGTAGGGAAGTATTGATCTTCCACGCAATCATTGCGTCCACGGATCGTGTTGTTTTAGTACTTTCCTACACCGCAGTTGAAAGTAAGTGTCTGGTCGAGGTTTCTTATTTGAACATACCTCAAAGCTTGAAAGTGATATCTGAAGTAGCTGGCTTAGTATTTAACATTGCCGAATAGAAAGATATGGTCTTGTCCATAGTTCCACAGGATTGACAATCGACGTTGTTGATAACACTCTGCAGGTAAAGTCTCAAGGCAGTTGAAGTGAGCCGGACCAGGCTTCACCATACATTTCAGTGAGATTTTCGTGATGTGCCTTTTTGATCTCTTTCTCATCTATCTATTGGTATAATTCAGTAAGATTCTTTCAGTTCTATGGTTAAGCTTGTTATGTTTCAAACTTCTCTCACTTATTAAACCACCTTAGGACTTGAGCCTAGAGACGATGCGGGAAACTTAAACGAAGCCATCATGAAATGCAGCTCATGGTTCATTTCAATTGTTGGATAATATTATCAAGTAGTTACATTCCACGAGGCCAAGCTCTTGATGGAATACGTAAGTGAAATGGAGCCCACAGGTGTGTTATCACCCTGATTTGGGTTGTTTTGATATTTACTTGCCTTCTTGATTTCCAAATGGATTTTTAAGAAAAGAAGAAATTTATTACAGAGTGTATGATTAAACGAATGACAAACTAGTACCTTAAAAGAGTATTAATATGATGAAATAACCATACTTGAGCTCTTGAGCAGCGGGCTGCTTCTCGCTATGGCTTTATGCCCTCATGCCCAACCTATACGTAGCCCATGAGAGAGGAATTCGGTGAGAGAAGATGTCACCTCGGTGAGTGTGGCACGTGAGCAAGCCTCACTTTCTCATCAAGGTGTGGCTCAAATCCACTTTACACGACTCACGGACCACCTCACCCCGCTATGGACGCTGCCCGCTGCTCGTTGCCCTCCGCTGTGATCGAGGCACGCCGCAGACGGCAGGACCCCGGTCCCCTGAGGACTCGAGTCCCGAAGGGCGTAGGCAGGCACGCCGCACGCAGAAAAGACCGGGCAGGCTCAGAGGCTGCACCCGGACCGGCCGTCATGCGTTATCGATAACCAAAAATTTCTTTACTTCCGACCGCGTCGCGTCCCGCACTTGACTCTTGACTCTCTTTCTTCCCTCCCCTCCATTCTGCCAAACAAGAGTTGATCGCCACCAGACAGCCTCGCCCCCATATTGAACGTACACGATACCCTTCTAAGAACGATTTTTATTGTCCTGTCGCAAAAAAATCAGCCATCATGCGTTACGTTCTCGTCTCAGGCGGTGTCATCTCTGGAGTGGGCAAGGGCATCATCGCCTCTTCCACGGGTCTGGTGTGTATCCGAACCCCTGTTAAAATTTCCTTATCTGCGGGCTGTGACTTCACATTCTGAGAAGACACTCTGAGAGCTCTGCCACACCAAGCCATTGGGGAATGGCGGGGTGCTGTCTCCTGGGAATTTCACAGCCATATCGTGCATGCATGCATGCATGCAATGCCGTCAGGCTCGAATGACACACCATTGCTAACGGTTGAGGTTTCCATGAATAGCTTCTCAAGACCTTGGGACTGCGCGTCACTAGCATCAAGATCGACCCGTACCTGTCGGTGAGTGAAACCGCCCCTGAAACCTTCTCTTGACCATGTCTCCCAGTGACTGACGATGGCATACAGGTCGATGCTGGTCTTATGGCTCCCGCCGAGCACGGCGAATGCTTTGTGGTTCGTATTCCCTGAATCCTTCAGTGCCATTCCTGGCCCGGTGAATAGGGACAAGTGTCTCTATCCAAACCGCATCTAGATGACGAGGTGTTGGTGATGCTTAGAGCAGGCTTTTATATTATGACTCAACGGAAAACGCTGACTATCATCAGTTGCACGATGGCATGGAGGTAGATCTCGGTAGGTGAACCTCTGGACGACATCTGGCCCATGGCTTCTCCCTTTCCTTCCCCGGGGGGATTGTCGCTATTCACATCGATCGCAAATCTCTGACAACGAGGCTCGCACACAGACCTGGGCAACTACGAACGCTACCTCAACATCCGTCTGACGGGCGAGCACAACATCACCACCGGCAAGGTGTACAGACATGTCATTGACAAGGAGCGCCGCGGCGATTACCTTGGAAAGACGGTTCAGGTGTACGTTTGGCCTCCATAGGTCTACCTACAACTTCCCATTTGCTGACAGATGCCAGCGTGCCTCACGTCACCGATGCGATTCAGGACTGGATCGAGCGTGTTGCAAAGATTCCCACAGACGACTCTGGCGAGGAGCCCGATGTCTGCATTATCGAGCTTGGGTACGTCTTAGCTGGCTCCCTTTCCAACATACAACGATGTACTTCGCACACCGACTCTTCGATTCGAGACCGCGTCGTCACGTATATCAGTCGGTCCAGATGCTAACATGCTACTCTACAGAGGCACAGTCGGTGACATCGAGAGCGTACGTTTCTCCGGAGACGTGCTAGACGAAGAGGACGTCCCCTTTTGAAGCATTCTAACACCACATCCAGATGCCCTACGTCGAGGCATTGACTCAATGTTTGTGCTACAAGCTCTCCCGGGCTGGTTCGACTGCTGACCCCTCATAGTGCGTCACAGAGCCGGAAGCGGCAACTTCATTCAGATCCACGTCTCCTACGTACCCACCATCCACGGCGAGCAGAAGACGAAGCCTACACAGCATGCCGTGAAGACGGTTCGCAGTTACGGCCTGGTTCCTGATATGGTAGGATTGGTTGCTTCTGATGGTTCGTCGTCCGACTGCTAACGACTGCACAGATCGCCTGCCGCTGCGAGCAGCCCCTTGAGGAGGCTACGGTGAGGAAGATCGCTCTTCTTTGCCAAGTCGACGTTCCTCAGGTCCTCGTCGTTCGTGACATGCCCACCATCTACCAAGTTCCTCTCCTCCTGGAGGAGCAGAACCTCATCCCCTGGCTGCGCAAGGCTGTCAACCTGGACGCCCTTTCCATCCCTCAGTCTCGCATCGCCGAGGGAGCGGCACTATGGAAGACATGGGCTTCCGTCGTCAGCCGCCCGTACGATGGTGAGATCAACATCGCCCTTGTCGGCAAGTACGTCAAGTCTCAGGACGCCTATCTGTCCGTTGTCAAGTCTCTGGAGCACTCGGCGATGCACCTGCGCAAGAAGCTCAACATCTGCTGGGTTGATGCCGAGCACCTCGAGATCCAGGCCAAGTCCGCGGACCAGGCCCAGTACCACAAGGCGTGGCACGATGTTTGCACCGCCTCCGGTATCATTGTTCCCGGTGGCTTCGGTACAAGAGGTACCGAGGGTATGATGAAGGTTTCCAAGTGGGCGCGCGAGAACGGTACCCCGTTCCTCGGTGTCTGCCTTGGTTTCCAAACCGCCATCATCCAATATGCTCGCGACTTCCTCAATATCGCTGACGCCACCTCGGAAGAGTTTGATGCCCAAGCTGAGAATAAGGTCGTCATTTACATGCCCGAGATCAGCCGCGACAAGCTCGGCGGTACCATGCGCCTTGGCCTGCGCCCGACCGAGTTCCAGCCCGGCAGCGAGTGGTCCAAGCTGCGTGCCCTGTACGGCGAGGCCGACTCAGTGGAGGAGAGACACCGCCACCGTTACGAGGCCAACCCGGCTTACGTCGAGAAACTCTCCGAGGCCGGCTTGAACTTCATCGGCAAGGACGACACTGGTGAGCGCATGGAGATCTTTGAGCTCCAGAACCACCCCTACTTCGTCGGAACCCAGTTCCACGCAGAGTACCAGTCCAAGGTTCTCAACCCTAGCGTACGTTTGCCCCCGGATCCCTTCCTACGCGTAATACTGACAGGCAGGACAGAGACCCTACCTCGGCTTCGTTGCCGCCAGCGCGGGCTGCCTCGATCGCGTGGTCAAGGAGGAGCTCGCCGCCTCCAAGCAGGCCAACGGCGTCAAGCACGTCGTTTAAGGATCCGTTATCCTCTTTTCGCATTTTTCTCTTCCGGCATTTCTGAAAAGACGGGATACACGACAAAGAAGGTTTGTCTCAAAGTAGACATGACATGGGCAGGCAAGGCATCCGAGAAGGCAGTTGGGATTTTCTTCTTTTTCACTCAAAGCACTAGAGATTACATTGGGCTATCCAGAAATGAACCAACCAAAACAATTCATGAATGAACGCGCGTCTGATTAGATGGGGAACATATCTTGGGGCAAGGCGGATGGCATTCTCGGCGGCGCGGGCGTTTTCTTGTTTTGAAAGATGATAAAATCTGCATGTTAGAATATCCTGGGTTAAAATATAGGGGGAATCGCTCTCATTTTCTATCTTGACTGCACAATGCTATATCTCGAACGAGCACTGACTGCAACGTTGACCGGCCTGCTTGGCTTTTCTCCATTCGTCATGGATTATTGTCTTGCTCCGATGTTCCTGTCCTTTGAATTGCCTTTGGTGGATACGGATAAGGTGTTAGACCTCAGGTGGTTTACAAAGAGAATAAGTGCAGTAAATCTTACCAATACATCTGCCGAAGCACGGGAAAGCTGCCAGCTGCGAGACATACTCCAATGGACATATTTCCCGCCAATGAAGGTCTGGCGGTTATGTTCATTGAACTCGTTCGTTTGGAATCCCAGGATGTAAATGCATCTCATACTGGTCAGCTGCGCACATGGACATATCGGAGCCCATGTTGCCATCTTGGTTTGTTGTAGGATTGAGAGTGAATGCGGTGATATGAACTGCCGTCTTGGCGTAAACGTGGGATTTCCTCGTACGTCTTGTATCTATTGTTGGTTCGTCTGGATCGTCTCCCCGCAGTGAGATTGAGGGGTACATGCGGCGACAAGGGGATGTTCTTGGGGTGAGGATGGAGCAGAGGGGCGTCATATCACTCCATGTCTATCGGTTGGACTGCCCGATATCCCTAGATGGTTTGTTTTGGGAAGAGAGAGGTCCGGGGAAGTGCCGTCTGGGCGAACGGTTGAGAGTTTGCCTGTACTCGATGGCGAGCTTCTGATATAAAGTTGACGATGAGAACGTCTTTCGCCACACCTCTAGACCGAGCAGCTACCGACGTAAGGTCGAGCTTCGTTTATCCCAAGAACGGTTTCATGAACTAGAAACACCAGCCATGGAGAAGCAAAATGAAGCTACAGAGCAACAGGTCGAGGCGATGGCCTCCGCCTTGGACGACGAGAAGAACAACGCCCTAACCCACCGCCACGCCAAAGAAGTCAATGTCCAGTCCGTCGCCCTCGCCGACGCTATTGCCAAAGATAAGCCCGACTATAAATCAAAGTCACAGATGACGCTCTACGCAATGATGTGTCTCTGTGTTCTAAGTACGTCTCTCAAGCCCTCTCAAAGCCCTCTCAAAGCCCCCCTTCCATAAGCCCTGATTTCGTAAAAAGGTCAAAGACACCCCTTAGCTAACCAATCTCCAACTTTCCAAAAAGATGGCATCATGAACGGCTACGACGGCTCCGTAATGTCCGCCATCAACGCAATGGACCCCTTCCAGTCCCGCTTCCGCATCGGGCTGACGGGCGAGCTCAACGGCGCCGTCTTCTCCATCTACACCGTCGGCAGCATCATCGGCAGCCTGCTGTGCGGGTACATCATGGACCGCTGGGGTCGCCGCGCTTGCATGTTCTCCGGCGCGTCCATGATCGTGCTCGGCTCCGTGCTGCAGGCGAGCAGCTTCCAGCTGCCGCAGTTTTTCATCGGGAGGTTCATCGTCGGTACGGGGACGCCCATGTGCGGGACGTCGGCGCCCGTGTTCTTGGTGGAGATTGCGTATCCTACGTGGAGGGGGTTGGCGGGGGGGTTGTATAATGTTTTGGGGTGGTATATTGGTGCGAATAGTGAGTTTTCTCATTGTTGTCCTGAAGATGGGATTCTCATGACACCTGATGGGGGACTGACTTGTGAGTAGTGGCCGCTTGGACATGTTACGGCACAAACTTCATCCCCAGCGACTGGGCGTGGCGCATCCCCTACATCGTCCAGCTCGTCCCGGCCACCATTGTCATCTCGGTTGTCTGGTTCCTACCGGAGAGCCCGCGCTGGCTCTGGTCGCAGGGTCATGCGGACCGCGCGGCGGCGATCCTGACAAAGTACCACGGCGACGGGAACCCGCACTCGGCGCTCGTCAAGCTCGAGCTCGACGAGATCCGGACGTCGCTGGAGGCCGAGCAGGAGCTCCGAAACAATAACTGGAACTATAAGATTCTCATCAACAACAGGCCGAACCGGTACCGCATGTGGCTCATTATGCTTGTTGCCGTCTTTTCTCAGTTCATTGGGGGATCGGTCATCTCGTACTATTTACCTGCGTCAGTAACACATTTCCAGCACGAAGCAGAATGGTACATGTACTGATTGTGGAATTTCCAGCATGGTGCGCGGCGTCGGCATCACGGACTCGAGCCGACAACTCCTCCTCAACGGAATCAACACGGTCATATCTTTCGTCAGCGGCATCTTCGGCTCCTTCTTCGTCGACAAGGTCGGCCGCAGGCCGCTGTTCCTCTGGGGCACCCTGCTCACGGGGCTCGTCTACATCCCTATCAACGTCCTCGCCGCAAAAGCAGAGCACCACCTCGACGAGGGCAACGCCGTCCCCAAACCGCAGGCCTATGCCTTCATTGCCATGATCTTCTCGTACGGTATCTTTTGGGGCTTCTGCTGGACACCGCTGCAGGCGCTGTACCCGGCCGAGATTCTGAACAACGAGATCCGGGCTAAGGGGATGGGCGCCAAGGGGTTCATTTCTGGTGTTGCGAGCTTTATTAATACGTACGGAACCTCTGTGTCGATTAAGCATATCGGGTGGAAGACGTACACGATTTTCTTGGTGTTGCATTTTGTGCATCTTGGGTTGATGTATATGTCTTGCGTTGAGACCAAGGAGAGGACGTTGGAGGAGCTGGAGGAGATTTTCAGTGATGCGAAGCCGGTGAAGAGGAGTTTGCAAAAAACTACTGTTGTTGTTGATCGTGGGTTGGGAGTCAAGATCAAGGACGATGCTTGAGTACCGAGTTTCTTTAAGTACCTTACCACCTGAGGATCAGTATTCTCTAGCTTGGGACGAACCATTGCTAGGACTATCCACGCAGGCTAAAAGGCTGGAGGCCGCCATGACTTCCTGTTATGGAGCGTTAGTGGAGTAGTGAGGAAGATTAACTAGATGTCCTGATGATTTTACAGAATGCAGAACTTGAAACAAAGTTAACAAGACCGGACCGATTGAGGGTTGAACATTAGATCCCGAAATAGACTGGAGACTTCACGGCCTAGCTGGGGCTTCTACAGCCCAAGACCCCTCGACCATGCGGCTTGTTGAGACCCGGAGATGATTCACCACTCATAAGGGATGGCGACGCTGACTGGGGACGCTCTACCCCAGGCAGCTCCCGCCATCTGCATATTCATACGTGAAGTAGATGTCACTGAATAGGCTCGTGGGATAGTTCCTTTCCGGTCCATTCAGTGACTAATGTGACATCTCAGTGCAGTATCCTAGTTTATGTGTTGTCAAGCGACTCAAACTTCTCATCCGGAACCACACACCAGAGACGAGAGAGCCTGTTTGCTTGCAGGGCCTCCAAGATCCTGAGCTCGATTCACCTTCTTCCCTCTTTTAACGCGCTCTAATTCGAGACTGAGGACTACTAAAGGCGTGGTACGTACAGCGAATGTGAAGGCTCTAAGCGTCGAAGGAACTCAGTTTTAAAGGTACTATGTGGACGAGTAGACAGCATTGGAATAAGACTCGAAGCAAAAGATCTCACAAAAGATCGCCCTAGTTCAATTTGGTAGTGTCAAGACCCGCCTCGGCCTATCTGACCTTTCCGGCCCGGGTCATAGGGGCATACAACTTGCAGTGCGAATTCGACAACTGACAGTTTTACGCGTATGCAAACGCCTTGAAGACTCTTAGAGAGCCCTCCGAACTCGGTGTGCGCTTGTTCATCTGACCGCAGTCTTGAAATGCGTTCTTCGTCTTCGACTCGGACTTAAGAAGGAGTAGGGGTGAATTGTGGATTGAATGCTTTGGCTGCTCGGTTGGTACCTGCGTCACATACGAAGGTCGGTTTCGGATGTGACTCTTAGGCCAGTTTGAAATTTGGTAGGACAAGGGCATATATGATTCTGTAGATCACAGGCAGCTAACTTGGAAGGTCATTACTTGATTCGGGCCGGTCGTGTGCCTGAGTCGCTCAAGCCTATGAGGTTAGTTGTGCCTAAGGTAGTAATGAAGTAAGGTTCTGACTCGTCCCATACTTTAATGTTTTCCCACGTGGCTCTGCACATTGACTGAGTTCTCAATGGTCAAGATTCGACGAGATGGAGTTCCCCGAGGCCGATAATCTAAAAGTTGCCATGAGTCGTAGTTGCTCGGCACTCGGTTGCCTAAAAAGAAACGAAATGGAAAGAAAAAGTAGTGGATATTAAGCTCCATTCTGATACAGCCGTAACTTCGTATCAATCTCTGTCATTACATGTACGCGGATTCCACGGACAACGGCATCCCACAATATGCTGTGAGATGAAGTCTTTCGAGGAGAGATTTATAGTTCATAGATAGTCTGAGCTACATTCCCAATCCCGGTCGTTGTATTCACGAATTAGTTGAGAGCATGGGTTGAAAAGAATTGAATTTAAGAGACTCTTAGGTACTTAATGAAAAAACCAGTTCCTTGGCTTTTGTCAAGCTTGCCATACCCTCCTCATGTCGAGCAACCGTATGGCCTGCGACTGGCCGGCGTCATGCCCGGTTGGCCAGAGGGTCAAGTTCGTCGACAACGCGCCGCAGTGCAAGGATAAGGATTGGGGTACGCCTTGCACCGGATACTGGAAGTGCTGCCCCCGATAAATGTCCTTGATGGACTGAAGTTGGGAGAGAGTGAAAGGTAATTCTCCTAAAGAATAACTTTGCGCGTGTACTTTTGGAACGCCCAACTAATAATCAGCCTAGCATATCCTGTAAGTATGAGGATTTTGGTGTCTGAGGTTCTGTAAATATGGATCCGGGCCTTCATTGGGAGAAATTGATGCTGGCCTAGACCCCAATGCATTGAGCCAACGGGGGCTGTTGTCCATAAGCTATCACAGGGAAAAACGTTATTTTGTGTGAGCTCTAGTCTGTGCTGTAGTGTTTCGAGTCCACGAAGGTGCAAGGGAATAAAAGGAATTGTTGTCAAATATGAATCTGCAAATTTGTTTTCCACTAAGAAGGAGATTGATAGCTCGGAAGCTCGATGACCTAAAGCCAATCCCGAGACTTTGAAGTACGTAATTGCTGAAACTTTTTGCTAAGAAAACTCCTTTGCAACCTTTCACTTGTTATCATCACCATTTTCCGGCCGAAACATCACACTTCAGTGATTATGATGGGCACTGGGTCAAGTAAGGTATCGTGGATTTGGAAAGACTTCAGTGAAATAGTAAGGGCCAGCATTTGAGGCAAAGGGTATTAGCTTCTATGGGCTGGTATCATGTTGTTATGCCGAACTGCCACTCATACCCAATCCAGCCCCCATTTTCTCCGAAGCGAGGAGGTTGTATGACGAACGAATCCCTACCCCAATCAGTTACCCGAGATGCTAACGATAGTAGGGTCCGAGGAATTGAATTCGAGTAAGTGGACATAAGAACCAGCCCATTTATTTAGGCTGTAGCTGTTGTTGGACTTGTCGGTGAAACTGAAGTTGTAGTTGTCTTCGGACTGGAACGTCAACCTGTAGGTGTACATGCTCCACCATGGGGCCTTGCTGAGCTGGTACCAGCCGATTGTAGCCTGGTTTTGGACATCCCCGGAAGGTTCTCCGTCGCTTCCGACAGTCCAGTCGGCTTGAACAACGAAGGGAGGCCCGCTCGCTGCACCTTCGTCCTCATCATGGTCTTCTGAGATATCGTATTCCTCTGCCTTGATACGGTACATTTCACCGTTCTCGTTTTCCAGATCTAGCCAGCCTAACTCAGCATCGGGGGGTGCTTGCTCGTGTTCGTTGTCGGACATGATTATGAGATTGGGAACTGAACTGTCTGGATGCGTCTTGAAGAACAGAATAGTTTGTTGCACCCAAAATGTTCTTGAGGAGAAAAGATATGTGTTGTTGAGTTTCAGTGTTCGTTGTTGGACATGATTGCTACCCCTATGTGTAATCGTTCGGAAGATTTATGCTTGAGCCGGGACATGTAATAATGAACCCCTCACGAATTGCCAACTTGAGGTGATCATGATCATACTCTTCTCTAGGTAAGCTGAACCCCATCCAAGCCACCCCTCTAGTTGTCTCAAGCTAGCAGAAAAAGCCTGTAACTAGTGTCATTCGTCCAGCTCTTCATATCAGACTTGATTTGCAAGCCATGCGAATGGACAAATATGGGAGTCATCGTGCGGGCGATATTGAACATGGCGTTCTCGGCCGGGAAACGGCGGTGACGTTGTGAAGGCGGGCCGGCTAGGCCTTAGCCGCTATTGACCAACATACGCTTGTTTCAACCCTCTCCAGCCACTGACAACTGTTCACGACCTATGCAAACTAGTTAAGTAGGGGGCCTGGGGGCTTGCTTGAGATCGGCAGTGCTCAAGTTAAGAGCCTTCACTAGACGGGTCCTACAGCGATCGCATATCGTTTCTGGTGAGAAGGTATCCATTCCGCTTTCGGGAAAGTTCAATTCCGTCCAGCTGAACGTTGATCCCGGTATTATGTCTCAGATGGACGCCAAAACTCTGGCAGCGGTGTTCTTTGACTGGCCACCCGACATCGTGTCCATATGTTGGCTCTGAGAGACATAATTTGCGTGAATTATAACGTGATGACTGGCCTTTTGACACTGCACTATCAAACTCTGATTGATTGTGTAAGAGGCAGCATCTCAGCCGCAACAAGGGACAGACAAGCCAAGACTTCAAGCATCTCGTTCGGTTGGAATAGTTTCAGGAAACCGTTGAGTTCAGTCATGTGTCTGATTGGTACTTATGTTATGGACATGACTGATAGAAGAATTGTTCACTCAACTACCTTCGACGCCATTGCGCCAAGCCCCGGACCCCATCCAGTCGGAGAGATATGCGGAAAAGCCACTCAAGTCAGTTGACAACAGATTCTTGAAACTTAGATAGCCGAAGCTAAGACCCAAGAATATGATATCCAATACTTCAAAGTCAATCACATTGCTGGCCCCATTTTTATATCAATGAACTCATATCTATAGGATTGACGCGTGCTATTCGATGGTAATATCTCCCCACGGAACATCAAGTTCGTCAAACCATGACATCAACTTAGGCTCATAGACATCGTATCGTAGTTTGCCGATTCTCCGGTACCTAGCCTTAGACTTTTTAAGAATCAGACCATAGTAGATTCCGCGAATACGACTTGCGTCAGCTCCACCTGTCTCATCGAGCTCTTCAACCTGAATGGGCACGAACAAAACGGGGCCGCAGCATTCGTCCTCAAATGTGTCGAACCTCACGGGAAGGTACCCAACCCAATCCGCCCGTTGGCGATGAACATGGGTTCCTTCAATAGTCTCAAGCCTCTCAGCACCGACACGTCCCCCATGGGGCCCGCTAGCAAGTATGGCTCTTAACAACCGGCACTTGAGGATTAAGCTACCGCCTTGTAGTTGCCCGGTGTCGTCCGATGTTAGGGGAGTTGTTGATGCCTCAATGATAGACACTAACACCCGATGAGGCTTTGAGTAATTCGAATAAGACTCATGGGACGAGAATGAAGATGCATTATCGACAGAGGCCCAGCACCAAGACGGAGCTCGGTATCGCTGCGGTCGGTTCGCCGGCTTGAAGACCTGCCATAGCAAGTTACGCGGCATCCTTGATCTCCAGAGACCGCCGAGATAGATCGCCGACTCGCCTAGATAGATGAGATGCTTCTTCATGTCTTTCGAAATGGCCGATATTGCCACGAGCTTGTCTTTACTCTTGGTGAGATGACATTGATTGTAATAATTAAGAAGACGGTACCACTCGATGAAGATGCAGTCAATCGGGTTCTCAAAGCTCGGGGGTTCAGATCCAATAATAGTCTTCCACACAGTCCGGCGCTTGTAATTGGGATGATCGAGGAAAACAGGGACGCTCTTCCACTTGTCAAACTTTGGCTGAGCTTCGGAGCAGACGAAAGTTTTGCACTCCCAAAAGACCTGACTCTTTCCAAAGTGAAGAACACGAGGAGCCAGAATCCTTTCTTGAAGAACCCAGCCCCGCTTCGACAGCACAGCAGATTTGAAGTCTGCGTCTCTGATGAAAGCCGTGTCCTGCTCGCCAGCGTGGGGCACGGGCTCGTCTGACTCTCCGATAGGGATATTAACCACTGGAATGCTGACAGCTAGCGGATCACGGGAGAAGAAAAGCCCCCCGTCATCATGTTCGGCGCCTAGTGCTGAGATACAAATGAAGGAGTTTGCATAGACGTTATGCATATCTGAAGCCTCTACAAGCCAGTCCTCTTCAGAGTCTTGAAATATGCAGAAGCGGTCGATCCAGAGGTACTCAAGCTGAAGCTTCTCCAGCACGATGAAGGCCTCGCGAAAAGTCTTTGGTAGAATAGCTATGGGTTGTGAAGCCGACAAGGTCGCCAAATTGGCTTCATTCAATATCAGCTGTCTATCCCAGGGCTTGGTTCCCCAGCAATGACTGAGTGTTGCATAGCTGGTTTGCGTCACAATCTCTTGCTTTGTAACTAAGCGGAAAGTTCTCCGTTGGTCGATCACTTCGAGTTTCAGAAGCCGGGAAGGTAATGCTCGTCGATGTGTTTCCGAAATATCTCTCAAAGACTCTACTGCGAGCTTTTGCTGGGTTTTTCCTTCTTTCAACGACACAGGGTTGCAGTCGCGGTGATTTTCAGTACAATCCCTGATCCAATTTTCGATAATGCTCCAAGTTTCCATCGTTTGTAGAATGTCCGATAAAGTCATTGAACTGCAGAGTTTGAGGCTCTATAAGCCCATAAGTCAACCTTCAATGTGATACAATCGACTTTTCCAAACTTACCATCTACGCAAGATTTCCAGCGGTGCCATCGACTCGATCGTGTGCCTTGCCACACTATCATGATGAAAGTATCACCATGCTCTGCCTTTTCCGCTTTGACAAGGAAAGTAGTAAAGCAGTCGACTTTTGAAGAAGCTGAGCCGTCATCACCGGCAGTAACTTCAGTCTGCTCGTGGGCGTCAACCTTTGTGCAAATATCACAGCCTTCAGACTTTGATTGCAACCATGACATTTTAGTAGGATGATGCGCGAACGCGTACATCTCGATCTCATAGCACGCATCATATTGTGTCTGTGCATTACGAAGGGACTTATCGAACCGAGGAAAGGCAACTGATTCCGCTATCTCATCTGGATCTGGCGTGAGCACAGGATTCCCATTCTCATCGCTGTAGCCGACCCTTCTGACCTTTGAAGGGTCTCGGAAGCCTTCGAGGCCATTTAAACAGACCTGGCATAGCATGCTCTTAGTATACTCAGTAGAGTGTCTGGTGTGATCAGCAATGCGTAGAATGTGTCTGCTTGGCCGATCTTTTTGCTGATGTGGTAAATGAACAAGTCGTTTCTTACGCAGTCAGAACTGATGCGGCGAGGAGCTCCGCGGAAAATAACGCATCTCCGTGCCGCACACCTGCAGCCAATGAGCACAAAGCTGCACGCGCTGATATACCGTTAAACTAGCCCTTCGTGAACCTATGATTTTACCGTCTGGATTACTCGCGTCAGTCAGAAGCTTCCCTTCGTACGTGTTTCAACACGCGTCGCCTCCCTTGATCCCCCAGCTCTACTACGATACTAGCTCTGATGTATCCGAGTCGATTGGCCAGCCGGTGCATTCGGATCTTGGTTCTGCAACCTGGTCCTGACACTGGCCCGGTCCAAATCGGACTTCAGGAAGCAAGTATTGACGATCCACCAACGTTCGAGGCGCTGTCATATGTCTGGGGAGATCCATCACAGCGCCGAGAGATCGACTGCTCAGGACAACCTGTCTCGATCACCCGCAACCTACACGATGCTCTGCAACACTTTCGGCGTCCAGATCGAGAATTGTTGATATGGGCAGATGCTCTATGCATCAACCAAGAGGATATGGACGAGAGAGCAGACCAGGTACAACTTATGAGAGAGATTTACTCGCGTGCTGAGAGGGTGGTGGTTTGGCTAGGCCTCGACAACGAAGGCCAGGCCCTCCGTGCGATGTCTTTGATCGAGACGATATATCAAGCTTGCGAAGATCATGCATTAGCCAAGAATATTGACCTTTTGAGCATGGCCCACTTCACGCCGGCGACACAGGCGCTGGAAGGACTCGCAGGGGTCTCTATCGCGAATATTGCCGCAGTTGGCATGCGTTTGGGCAAATCAGAGTCGAAGGCAGAGGATTGGGAAGCGCTGGGGTGGCTGCTATCTCGACCTTGGTTCACTCGAGTTTGGTGCGTGCAAGAAATCGTTCTCGCCCGATCTTCCAGAGTTTACGTCGGCTCGAGATCCTTAGACTGGGTCAAGCTAGGAGTCACGGCTGCCTGGCTAAGTGAGCAGCACCTTGCGAACGACTACGACGTGCCGGCTGAGATCGAAGGTCTGCCATTTGACAATGCACATTCCATGTTCGACACAAGCGATATACCAGAATCAACTTTCTTGGAAATTCTCATTGCTTTTCGAGATCACCATGCCACAAACTTGAGGGACAAGGTCTACGGGCTGTTGGGGCTCATGCGCCCAGAGAACCTCGAGCTTTTCCCGAGTGTTGACTACCGAAAGAGTGTGGCAGAGGTTTACGCAGACGTTGTCATTACTGCTGTCACAGACAGTAAATCGTTGGCTTCTTTGTGCTATGTCCAACATGGAGTCGAGTACAACCGAACCGATGTTCCTTCTTGGGTACCAAGATGGGATGTGAGTGGTGACGTTTCGACTATTCTCGATAGTCGATCCCTGACAGCCTGGAAAGAGGGCGACAAGCATGGTCTCCCGGAACTGACAGATTTTGACCCATCATCAGATGGCAAGTTATCCGTAGCTGGTGTCAGATTCGACACCATTGCGTGGACAACCCGCGCTCTGGACGTTCAAGACTTCAAGGAAAGATTCACAGGTTCTGCGGTGTCACCTCATCCAATGCTAGATCTATGGAATCGTGCGTCCTCAAACATGTCGTATCCAGGATCTCAATTTGAAGACTCGCTGATGGCTGTGTTGATGATGGCTCTCACTCTGACTGCTGGGGTTACTGTTGGATACGAGCGCGTCGAGGAGCTCGAATCATCTGACGACCGTGAGCAGTTTCACTCAGACTACCTGGCATACGTACACAACTTACTTGAGGTTTCTGACCTAGAGTCTTCAACTTTTGAGCCTCTCAATATCGCGTTGAGTGACGGGGACGCCTCAAGGTTTAGAGTCGCAGCGTCCCGCGCTTGCGACCAGCGACGTGTGTTTGAGACAACAAAGGGGTTCTATGGACTGGCGCCAGCCTGCGCAAGAGAAGGAGATGTAGTTGTGATGTTGTACGGTGGCCCGATTCCTTTCGTTTTAAGAGAAGTTGACAACGGATGGTGGCTACTGGGCGACTGTTTCATCGACCCGCTCATGCCCGAGGCTGCTGACGACATGATTAGAGCAAAGTTCGGCGAGGAGGAAGTCTTTGTGCTTGTATAAATTTGACTCAAAAAGAGTGCAGCATTTTGTCAGCACATCGTAGTTCAACGACCACATACTATTCATTTCGGTTCTCAATATCCTGAAGCCCGTCTCTTCAGTAAGTTCCCCTCAATCGAGAACTACCGAGGTGGATCTCGCTTTGCTGTGCC